ACTTATTTTCAGACATAATTTAGTTGTATGTGCAAAATTTCATACTATTCATGCTGATATTACACGCTTGGTGCACAATAAAAGGCAAATCAGACGAAGATATATATGGGAGTTATATGTAAATTTTCACCGATTATCTCCAATTTCAACAGGGCCAAACAAATGTAATTTGGAAAATTTCATCTCAATCCGATAATATATCCGACCTGCATTTTGTTCACAAGAATACATGGACAGACGGACGGACAGACGGACTGACATGCATAAATCAACTCAGAAAGTGATTCTATGGAGATCCTCAAAAGTATCTATGGGTCTATCTCGCTTCCTTCTCCATGTTACAAACAAATGCACAAAGAAATAATACCCTTACCACTATGTGGTGTAGGGTATAAAAAGATGAAATTTGAAAATGGAAATTCCATCCTAGTCACAATACAAATTGTTCTGCCAAATTTTGGAGGTCTACGTCAAATAATATGGGCTGTATCATGATTTAAACAGACAGATGGACATCCTTAAATCGACTTAGAATTTTATGCTGAATAAATATACTTTATGAGGTCTACGATGAATATTTGGGGATTTTATAAACGGAATGACAAAAATAAGTTCCAAGGTGGAGGGTATAAAAATTGCGAGACATTTGTCTTCCCTTTTTTTTTGGTTTTTTCGGTTAATACTTGTTGACTGAAAAATGTGCTGATAGATAATCATTGTGCAAGTTACGTGAAATTAAATTTCTATTTCGATTCTTTGAGACACATTATAGCATGTATATCCTAAAAATATGATATGATTAAATACCTGATGTAAGTATTATAACGCATTAATTAATATATTTTCGTAGGGTAATACCTTTTCCAAAAGCCCAAAAGAATATCTCTATTATGAGCAGCGCCTCTACACATTTTGCCCATAAACTATTTTAAAATAATTCATATTTTTAAGTTTTATGGCGTTAAAATTATCTTCTTATTTCATTATTCATTCTTATAAGAATATCATATTTCCGAACCCTGTTATATGACTTATAAATGCCACTCTGTTATGAATTCTTGCTAACGTTTAACTCACCACCCAAGCAATTGGAATACAACACAAACGAATGCTCGAGGAACAAATGGCAAACGGAACAAAACAAAGCAATGAAACGAGAGAACGCAAAACACCTCCATAATTTGTAGTTGCTCTTCCATTAAAATGGAATGGATTTAGTTGATAATAATGAATGAATTGATAATAATTGTATTGATAATAATGACGGTATATTAATCAAAGATAAGTTTGGATTTATATTGTCATTATTTATTTTGATAATAATGAATATTGATTAACTATTTGAATGATCAAATAGTTAACAAACATGGAAGTAAAAATGTATGCCTATTATTTTAATCAATACCAAGAGTTTGTTTATTAAAAAAATTGAACAATGTTGCAATTTGTTTTGTTGTTGGAAAATAGTTCGACTTAATCTTTGAAATCACGAGGGTATTTATTATTGAAGAAAATATAATATGGTAAACTTACCAGGAGGAAAAAAGACAGGGAATACCATGGTTTCGAAAAGAGAGCCACCAAGCTTTATTAGGAATGGTTGTATTTTTATTAACTTTATTGTTAGAAATGTTCTTTACAGGGTGAGATTAAAAAACTGTAACCAACTTCAGACTGCTGTCATTTCCAAGCCACTCGTCCGACAGCTGTTAAAATTATTCTAGTGACAGCTTATTATATTGTTTACAAGCGGACAAAAGCAATTTAGTGAGGATTTTCAGAACAAAAAAATGTTATTCCTGATGGAATTCAAGCGTGATAGTGTGATTTCTTTCTGTTTGGCTGGAAACCATAAGTGGCCATCGTTAAAGCACTCCAGCATTTAAATGTGAGTAAATCTTTTGTGTCTCGTGCCATCGCTCGTTACCATGATACTTGTAGCGTAGCCCGACGTCAAGGAAGTGGACAGAATTAAACAGCAACATCAGCAGAAATGGTTCGAGAACTAAAGAAGCGACTTGATCGATACCTGCGTTGCAGTGGCCGAAAAGTGGCTCGTGAGCTGAACATATCGGAATATTCCATTTGGCAAATGTTGAAAAATGAGCTTGGGCTAAAGCCATTGAAATTCCAAAAAGTGCAAGAACTTACACCGCAACAGAAAGAAAATAGACTCAAAAGAGCTAAAGAGTTGCTTCGCTTGGCCGAAAGTGGTGAACTGCCGAATTTGGTTTTCTCCTTTGAGAAAACATTCGTTGTCCAGCAGTTTGTAAACAAACAACATGATCGTGTTTACTTGCCAGAGAGATCAGCTGAAACTGTGCACCTTCGCTTGGCCACCAGAACTCAAGCGCCGGCCATGGTGATGGTGTGGACCGCCATAAAAGCCGATGGTCGCTCTCCGCTCGTATTAATCGACCGTGGCATTTGAATAAATGCCGAATATTATCGCGAAAATATTCTGGAGGGTTTATTAAAGCCTTGGTCTTGCAAACCTTTTGGCCGCAGATCTGAGACATTTCAACAGGACTCAGCACCATCGCACTCAGCACGCGCCAACCAAGAATGGTTACAAAATGAGGTTCCTCTCTTCATTTCCAGCGCACAATGGCCACCAAAATCTCCGGATACCAATCCGTTGGACTCTTGTGTCTTGAGTATTTTGAAAAGCAAGGCACTAAAAAATACCAAAGTGCCGATCACCTCAAGTAAGCGCTACGCCGAGAATGGACAAAAATACCGCAGAGCAATATTCGGGCAGCGTGTGACGATTTCATTGGCCGTTTGAGGGCTATAATTCGTGCTAAAGGTGACCAATTCGTACAAATCTAAACTTATTATAAAATTTAATGATATTTCCGATATTTTTATACCCTCCACCATAGCATGGGGGGTATGTTAAGTTTGTCATTCCGTTTGTAATATCTCGAAATATACATTTTATATCCCACAAAGCATATATATTCTTGATCAGCAAAAAATTCTATGTCGAATTAGCGATTTTTCGTCCGTGGAAATCACTCTTGCTTCCGAACGAATTGAAGTAGGTTGATAAAATTTTACTCAAATATATGTTATGTTTGCAGGACTTTTGGTATTGAAAATGGACCATGTAGGTCCACGTCTTCGTATAGCCCTCATATAACGGTTCCTCCCGATATTCGGTATTTTGATGATTTTAGCAACATTATTAACCGGAATTGTTTCAAATTTAATATTTGAAGTTCGTAATGGATACTACAGTCTATGACAGATCATTGTCTGTGCCGGTCCACGTCTTCGTATAGCCCCCATATAACAGTACCTCCCAATATTCGCTATTTTGATGATTTTAGCGTCATTATTCACCGGAATTGTTTTAACTTACGTATTTAGAGTTCGTAATGGAAACTACAGTCTGTGACAGAAAATTGTCTTTGCAGATCCAGGTCTTCGTTTAGGCCCCATATATCAGTACATCCCTATATTCGGTATTTTGACGATTTTAGGTACAATTCCCACCGAAATTGTTTGAGATGTCGTATTTGAAGTTCGTAACGGATGCTACAGCCTGTGACAGAAAATTGTCTTTACAGATCCAGGTCTTCGAATAGGCCCCATATATCAGTACCTCCCTATATTCGGTATTTTGATTTTTTGATTTTAGGAACAATACCCACCGAAATTATTTGAGATGTCGTATTTAAATTCGTAATGGATGCTACAGCCTGTGACAGAAAATTGTCTATGCTGGTCCAGGTCTTCGCACAGCTCCGATATAACGGTACCTCCCTATATACGATATGTTGATGATTTTTGCTACATTATTTACCGTTTATTTCAAGTTTCGAGTTTGAATATTGTAATGGATTATGAAAAACAATGCCTATGTAGGTCCACGTCGCATAGACCCCAAAATAACGGCTATATTCGGTATTTTTAAAATTTTAACAGATTTTTTTAAGAATTTTAATTGTTTGAAAATTTCCAATTTCGTTCCAAATGGTGGAGGGTATTTAAAGTTCGACCCGGCCGAACTTACTGCTTTTTTAACTTGTAATGATTTTTAACAGCATTTTTGAGTGTATTTTTTAAATTTTTAAATTCCAAATGGCGGAAGGTATTCAAAGTTCGGCCCGCCGAACTTAATACTTGTTCACTTGTTTTTTTTATTAATTTGATTCTAAAAGATGAGTGATTCCACCAGTTTTGCAATATTTTTTTGGATTCATGTTCTATGAAAACATCAATTGAAAAATATTTCCTTTTCATTTCTTTCCTTTAGAAATATTTTCATATCAAATTTTCATAGAACAAGAATCGAGCCTTTGAAATAGACCAAATATTTGACAATATTAATGTTTCAAAATAACTATTTGCAAAAAATAATAATGAAATATCGAGCAATATATAATTTTTACTTTTCTTTACATTATCTCTTTTTCTATTTTTCTCAGCTCTGATTTAAATATACAGAACATTTGAATCCATCTTTTTCTCTCTCTCTCCCATTCCCTGATTTATTATTTGTGGTTACATTTTCTGTTACATTGTAAAAATTACCGGCATAAACACCTTTAATTGTTCCCCCCATAATAAAATCTATAATAAATATCCCTCTGTAATGTATGTAACTCTCTGGTTGCCTTCGCTCTTTTTCTCTCTTTCATTGGCCTCACATTACAACGGGGCCTGCCTCATTTGTTGTGATTTGTTTCCTTCTTTTTATTACGTTTTGTAAAGGTGGCACAATCAAAAACAGAGTACCTGTTAATTGCATGTGAGGGTAATTTATTGTTATGTACTCATTGGCCGAGAGAGAGATGCCGTGTTGTGAGAGTGATTGAGAGCATGTGTTCGTATGCGCGTGCTTTGTATTAAATACAAATGGAATTGAAACATGTTGGGGTAAAATTTCCCTTTGTGTGAAGGAGAGCTGAGAGTGCCATGGGACAGAGAGAGAACCAGCCAGCCACTGTAAGTGGGGAGCAAATTTCCCCGTTGTGTTGGAGTTTTGCACAAGTAACAAAATCAGTTGAGTTTTTGATGCCGTTGCGGACGGAGCGTTTAAATCGATTGAAATATAACGGTTAGCATTGAATGCTTAATAAGGTGTTACTTATGTGTGTGGTGTTTATCACAAGTGAATGAAATTAAATTTTGTATACTTTTGAAGGAGAAAAATGTATTAAAATTTATGAGAGAAAATTAAGAAATTAAATAAAAATTGATTTTTGAAAAAATATTCGTGAAATAAAAGTATGTTTCCAATAATGATTTTAGAGGAGAATTATTGATTTTTTCCCCTGCTCTGGTTTAGTGAGAAAATTTTAGATATTTATGGCAAAAATGTTCTGCCTTTAAGGAAAAAGTTGTGTTATTCTTATTTTCTGTTTGTTGTCCAGCCAGCCTAAAAGAAAGGAGTGAAAAAATAATAAAAAACGACAAATAAAAAGAAAACAAATCTTTTGGTGAAAAAGTGCAAAAACCGGTTACAAACAACTCACAGCAGCCGTAGCAGCAGCATCAGCAGAAAAAAATTAACAAGTCTCGGATTTCAAACAGCAAAGAGTGTGGGGAGTTGTTGGCTGGCTGTCTTCTGCTCTTCCACCTCCTCGACCATTGGAGGGGATCTACGGCGACAGTCAACAGCATCAGAAACGGCAGCGGCAGCAGCACAGATTCCAATCAACATTCAATATACTCTGTGTACTCTGAATGTTGGATACCGGACAATAAAAAAACAACAACACAAATTGTTGTTCTTGTTGTTGTCTTTGGTGTGTTTGTGTGTCTGTCTGTCTGGTTGTCTTTCTGTGTGTGGTTGTCTTGTTTGACTTATATGGCCATTTGGCTCGCTGTTGGTGGTGGTGGCTTACATTGGCCCACAACAAGCCAAGACTGGACAACACCAAAATGAATGTTGGTAATGTAAAACTTAGGCTCGGTATCAGTGGACCAACAAAAAACAACAACAACTCCACACACTCTTTGGCCTAATGGATGCTGTGTGCTACGAGATGTGAGCGAGTGAGTGAGTGAGTGTTGGGTGAGAAGTAATCTTGAAACAAGAATAAGAATTACAGCACCAAAGTGAAAGAAGACCAACTAAACAACAGGAAAAAAATTTCAGCCAAAGAAAAAGAAGAAGACCAAGGCAAAATAGAAACAAAGCCAATGGGAAAACAAGAATTTAAACCTTTTCTACAGAGGATTTCATGGGTGGCCGGTGACCCTTAAAGAATATTTTTTCAAAGGATACAAAAAAAAAAAAAAAAAAATTAAAAAAACCTAAAAAAATTATCTTTTCTAATTTGTGTTTATTTTCCATTCTCTTTTAGTGTCTTCTTCAATTTTATTTTTGATTTGTGTCAACAACAAATTTTCCATTTGAAGTGAAACGACAAAGTGAAAAAAAAAGAAAATTCCCATTCCATGGAATAAAATCTCCACCCAAAAGTCCAGCACGAAAAAAAAAATAAAAATCGAAAAAGGAATGAAGGAAAATATAATTCATAGTTAATTATTTGTGTGCGTGTGTGATAACTTCGAGAGCATAACAGAGAAGTGAATTGTAGAGAGAGTGAGAGCCCAAGAGAGCGTAGGCAGGAATTTCTGCTTCCCACCAAGAAAAACCTTTGCTCCTTGTTTCAAAAAGGCAAGCTCTCTAAAAAAGAGAAATCTCCAAGTGAAAGCCGTAATAAATAAAAAAAATCTCCAAATCAACAAAATCTTTGCAAAACAACAACAACAAAACAAATAAGTGAAAAATTATTAAAAAAATCCAAGAGTTTCAATTAAAAAAACCCAATAATTCATAATATCCCCAAATAGAAGAGCGAAATATAACAGAGAGAAATAGCAGAGTGAGAGAGAAAGTTTAAGCAAAATATTACATTCATACTCTCTCTCTCCCTTGCACAAAAATCCTTGTCACAAAAATCAAGCTCTCAGCTCTCACAGTGTGTGTGTTTCAGTTGGAGAGTACTTATCATCAACAACAATTTACAACAAAACCAAACAAAACATCCAACAACATTACGACTAGCAGAGTATCTCTCTCTTCTCCTAACATTATTCCGGCATTGTTGTGCTCCGCTTTTCGTTTTTTTATTGTTTTTACCATTTGTATGGTTGTTGGTGGTTCTCTGCCGAATGACTTTGTATGCTGAGTGAAAAAGGTCAGTATCCTGGTTATTATAGATATTTTTGAAGTTCTGTTGTGTTTTCCACTTTTTCCTGCTTCCATTTAGTTCCTTTTTGTTGTCATCTTCGTTTACGTTTTTTTTTTCTTTTTTTTTGGGTAGCTAAAGATTCTGTGTTGTTTTTCTTTTCTTCTTCTATTTTATGCTGCCATTTCTTATGGCCCGGCCATTTGGGAGCTGCCATTCGTAGATTTTTTTCTTTGTTTTGCATAAGATTCAATTTTTTTATTGCCACAATGCCAGCCAGCTGTACGAGGATGTTCAGCCATAGAAGAGAACTTTAAAGCCATTGAAATTTGGAACGATTGCCTTTATCAAATTCTGTATTGCCTTATTTTATCTTTTGTGTAAATTCGATAAAAAGAAGTGATTTCATCCAATTGGAATTTAAGATAACAACACCAACAATTTTTTTTTCCAAAAGGCTAAGTGGTGGAAATTTGACGTTACTTTTTTTCCAATATCCACTGCGCAATAAAGAAGAATATAACAAAAATTGAGGTTCTCTGAACAAAAATATGACAAATTATTAATAGTGGTTTGGATGATTAGGCCTCTAATTGCCTATGCTTTTCCTATTTGGTGGATTTTTATGTCCTGTTTGGGTCTGAGGCGAACTCAGGGAGAAGATGTCAGATGAATTTTGTATGGCTAGCGCTCAAGGTTTCCTAGACAAGGCAGCATCCTTATAAAATAGGGCCTATTCCATTCGTATGAAATTCTTAGATCCTGTTTAGACCCAAAGCGAACTCAAAGAGAAGATGCAATACGGAGACTACCTGTCAAAGGGATAGTGTATGAGTCCAATGACTTGAGAAAAATATATACATTTCTTATGGCTGGCGCTTAAGGCTTTCTAGACAAAGCTGCATCTTTATAAAATAAAAGGCTCCAAGTTAGTCTATGCTTTTCCTATTGAGATTACTTCTGTGTTTGGAAGAGGTGGACTCCTAGGTCCTGTTTGGGCTTAAACGAACTTAATGAGAAAATGGAACACGGCGACTACCTGATAATAGAATAATGTATAAATCCAATGACTTCAGAATAATTTATAAATTTCTTATGGCTAGTGCTCAAGGTTTCCTAGGCGAACTCAGGATCTATTGCTAAATTTCTTACGACTAGAGTTCTGTGTGTCCTAGACAAAGATGCATCCTTACGAAAAAAGTAAAAGTAAGCATTCAGCTTTCCCTGGCTCATTACAGGCCTGTGCTTTTCTTCTTGTTTAGGATTTCATTTGGGAGACACGGATTCTTTAGTTCCTTTTGGGTCTAAATGAACTCAAAGACGGAAGACAGCGCCTACCTGCCAACCAGGGTAGTGGACGAATACAATGACTTCAGAAAAATCAATATCTTATGGCTAGCGCTCTATGTTTCCTAGACAAAACTGCATCCTTACAAAAGAGGTTAGTAAGAAAAAGGCTTAACACGAGGGTCTTTTTTAGGCGTATGATTTTCGTATTTGGTTGACATTGGTTCCGTATTTGGCAAAGGTGGATTCTTAGATCCCTTTTGGGCCTAAGCGAACTCAAGGGGAAGGTGGAACATGGTGTCTATGTCAATGACTTCAGAAGAATCGATAGATATCTTGTGACTAGCGCTCTAAGTTTCCTAGACAAAGCTTCATCCTTAGATAATCGGTTCGTTAGAGAAAGCCTGGCGAACGAAACAGATGTGTAAGAACTAATTCGGACTTATTATAGGCTTATGTTTTTGATCTTTGATTGGGATATATTTCTTCTCAAATGACAAGCGGATTCTTAAGACCTGCTTGAGCCTATGGTGAACCTAAAAAGAATTAGGAACATTTCTCCTACCTCTCAGCAGGATGGTTTATGAATCCAATGACTTTAGAAGAATCAATAAATATCTTATGACTAGCGCTCCTTCCTAGACAAATCTGCATCCTTATAAAATAGTTTAGTAAGAGCAAGGCTAGTAAATGCAACAGCTATTCAAAAGCTAACTCGAACATAAGGGTGTCTGCTTTTTCTATTTGGTTTGGGATATATTTCCAGCAAGTGGTTGGGATTGGTTCCGCATTTTATAGGTCCCTTCTTAGGTACCGTTTTGGTCTAAGCCAACACAAGAAGAAAATGGAGCAATAGCATAGTGTATGGATCCAATAACTTCAGAAGAATCGATAAATATCTTATGACTAGCGCTTTAAGTTTTCCAGACATCCATAGATTATCGGTTAGTTAGAGAGAGCCCGCGAGCGAAACAGATGTGCAAGGACTAATACGGGCTTATTATAGGCGTATGTTTTTGTTATTTAGTTTGGGATATATTTCAAGCAAATGGAAGGCGAATTATTAAGCCCTTCTTGAACCTATGGCGAACCTGAAAAGAATTAGGAACATTTCTCCAACCTGTCAGCAGGATGGTGTATAAATCCAATGGCTTCAGAAGAATCGATAAATATCTTATAACTAGCGCTCTAAGTTTCCTAGACAAAGCTGCATCCTTAGATAATCGGTTACTTAGAGAATGCCTCGTGAACGAAACCGACGTGCAAGGACTATCTCGGGCCTATTACAGTTGGAGTCCTAGATCTAAAAATAATTAGGATCATAGCACCTACCTGCCAACAGGATCTTGTTTAAATCCGAGCTGCACCCTTAGATAATAGGTTGTGTGGTGCGAGCCTCTAAAGGGATTTAGTGCTTGAAAGCTATTGGAAAAGGTACGATAAAACAAGACAATTCATTTAAATATCCACCAGTTTAGTTAATTCATCTTCCAAAGTTTTAATCAATTCTGCTGCCTTCATGATAGCAAAAATCTCTGCCTGAAAAAACTTCTCACTTTCCATTCAATTTGTAAGAGGTCTTTCTTAGATGCTCACAGAAGACTTCGGCTCTCGCGGTCTTTGTCATCTTTGATTCGCAAGTATATATCGGCGAAGCCATTCTTGTAGATTTATTTTAAGAGTGTAACGCTTGTGATAGTTTGTCTCTTGAGTCAATTTTTAAAAATTATTGAAATCAGGAGTGGAGACCATGTTCATGCTTAAAATCCTGTTTTAGAAATCAACTCAATTGTAAATATATATGTGTACTAAATGCAGCATTGCTGCAGCCTCAGTAAAGTATTATATAGATAAACTTAGAAAAGTGAGATTTACGCCAAGTAAGATATTCCGAGCTATTGTTAGCCGTAAGGTATTGAAATATTGTTAAATGAATTGGTGGAAAAAAATTGATAGATTGTTTTGGATGTACAGTTTGATCTTTGATCTATATTTGTATTTCAAACAAGAATGTTATGAAAAATTAGAAATGAAATTGGAAAAGTTTCGAGCAAGGCCCATTTATTAGGTCGTGTTAAGGGCGAATTGTGATTTCCACATCAATGAAATAAATTGTCTGCAATATTTTCCCGAGCAGGATCAGGTATGACAAGCGGCGTTCTGTTTACAAATCATAGATATATTCAATGAACTAGATATACTGGCCATTCCTACCTGTTATTTGACGAATAGCTTAAGACACTCAATGGCTGTCAAATTTCAGGCTGAGCATGGGTATGGTGGCCTTGTTACAGGGCTAATCAGATTACATACGATGAACTCGATTTTGTTATTGTTTTAGGCATATGGCGCAAAAATTTGTCATTACATTTCAGAGTGATGACAAATAGCTACTTCAGTATTATCAGGATCTATAAAGCAATGAATTGCAAAAAATTTTGAAACAAAGTACCTAAACTATTTTTAAAATAGGAACAATTTAAAGCAATTGATTTCGTCTTGTGTTAAAAACAATAACAATGGAACCATTCATTCAATAACTGATATATTCAGTTCTTTCTTTAAATATGGAAGTAAATATTATTCGTATTTCTCTCGCGCTTTTTTCTACTTGAAGGTCGCCGTCGCTATTACTCACAATCTTTATGCCAGTTTATTTACTCAACGCAAATGTGGGTAACTCTATCATAAATTTTTAATGTCGCCCGATAATCAATTGCGATAATGTCAACAGTTGGTGTTCCCTTCTATTTATACAACTGACAATTATCATTCAACTGCGACGACAGGTTATACGAACAGCTTAAGTACCTCTTTTGGGTGAAACGAAAAAAAATCACCTTTTCATGGGTCCCGTGAAATTTGAAAATGAGTCGATTTTTTTTTCAGAAAAAAAAAGAAATAAGTTTGAAGTAACGTCTATGAAAGCATGCCTTGACTTGAAAATATTATCATTGAATTATGTCATATCAGAGCGAAATATGTGAATAAGTTCTACTACTTGAGATTATAAAATGTGTGAGAATTTTGGATAGGCAATTTTATGATTTTTTTTTCAATACTCAGGTGACAGGCATCACACTTTTTTAATTAAGTGCAAAGAACGAGAGGTGTGTAGTTAAAATAGCTCCGTTGCTAATTTCCCTACAAAAATCGATTAAGCGATCACTTGAAAGTCGACTTACTTATCCCTATACATTCCCGAATTTAATAAGACTACGTGTGTTTGGTTATCCTAAAAATTGTTACTGAAAGTCGTCTGTTAACAGAGAAGTTCTGCAAAAGAGAGCGGTGCGAGTGAGACATTTTTACAGTTTTTTTTTTTTACTGAGAGTTTGCAAATTCTCGAATTTTTCATAGTTGTCTTGCAAAAGAGAACAATAGTACTACTGGACAATTTCTGCAGGAAAAGTAACCAGACAAAACTATTTTAATTGAATAATTTAACATACACTCAGTAAAAAAAGTCTGCGCATAACTTTTAATGTTGGAAAAAATCAATTTTTACACAAAATGGTCTTCAAAGATATCGATGGCGTTTCTAGATATGGCAACACTGTTTAAGTCGATTAATTTGCGAAAAAGAAGATCTTATCTGGCCACTCAGAAAAATCTGCATAAAAAGAATAAAGCTTTGATCTTCATATTTAGAATCGACAATGGATCAATGTGGCTACCTAAATATTTTACAACAAAATTTGATGCAAAGTGCCTTGAACCTT